ACAAGAAATGTATAAAATTACAGTACTGTATTAGACTTACGGTACCTAATTTACATACTGACAGACGATAGTTAGCGTAAAAATCTCCGTAGCGTGGCGCCACGCTAGACGGCGGAAATTATATATTTAATTATAACAAAGTTACAATAAGTTAATATATAATTATATATACAGTACCTAATTTATATATAATTAATATATAATTATATGTACAGTACCTAATTTATATATAATTTATATAATACTGTCCAGACGATAGAAATCTCTCCGTAGCGTGGCGCTACGGACGGCGGGAAAGTAGTTCGGCTTCCCGATGACGTTTGAGGTGTTTATAGGGAACTTTTACTATTTTTTACGGATACCGGTAGCAATTTTTTCGTAGTTTTATAGGAATCGTAACTATAGGGACCGTAATTATAGGGGGGTCGACTGTATAGTTCTTTCTAGATTGTAGTTTATTTTCCAATGAGCTATAAGATAATTGTTGGGTAAGGAATATTAATTAATGCATGATGCTAGTCACTACTTTTCTCTGATTTGCTAATGGTTTAGGCCAGGAGTCGGCAATCACTTTTTTGTAAAGAACCATTCTTAGCCTTTCATTTACCAAAATACCTACTGAGCCGCAAATCAGCAACTTGAATTATAAAATATATATATTTGAAAATGAGACTAAAACTTTTTTTTTTTTGTTAAAATGAGTTTATTGAAAATGTGACAATGTGCCTTTCCAAGTCTGCAATAAACAAACATAATTTTTGTTCAAAAGCAAGTACTTCTTCTAAAAGCAAAAATAGATATATATATTTCCCTTCCCTTCCCTTGCAGTTTTTTGTTTAGTGTGTTTAAATGTGACATCATGTCCACCTAAAAATAAAATTATTGTAACTAATCATGATTATTGAGCTCAATGTATTCAAAAATATTTTGGTTTCAAATAAATTTATTTCTTCAATGCAAGCATCAAATCACGTTAACATCGCTCCTCGGGAAAGCCATCTTACTTTGTTGTGTAAAAGATCAGAATATTGGCTATTGACTTCATTAAGAAGTTCACAAAATCTCTGATGATATAGTGGTCCTGCCATTATTTTGTTCACAGTTTGTACAACCAGGTCCATAACTAATGTTATTTCTTTTGAAAAGCTTTGTGATAAAGTCCCTCTCAATGGATTAAGCAGTGAAAAGGAAAAACATCATGCAAAATTTGATTTTTAAGCATAGAAACAAAACTTTTCTCTTCACCTTTCATACTTGGTGCTCCATTGGTTGCAATTGATACTATTTTATTAATATCAATTTTTTACTTGTCAAACAATTGGTAACAGCAGATTCTTCAGATATCGTCACTTCGAGTTTGTCCTGTAAGTGGCAGTATATCAAGTAACTCTTCCTGANCCATTGGTTGCAATTGATACTATTTTATTAATATCAATTTTTTACTTGTCAAACAATTGGTAACAGCAGATTCTTCAGATATCGTCACTTCGAGTTTGTCCTGTAAGTGGCAGTATATCAAGTAACTCTTCCTGAGGTCTGTCAGAATATACATAACATATCTACAAATAAGAACAACCTGTGCAATATCATTCACATTGCAAGATTCATTGCAGGCAGTAGAAAATCCTAGTGTTGAATTTAAATCTGTAACCTGCTGACTAGTTAGTATAGTCATCTGCCATACGAACAGTTCTGTCTCTTGCAGTCTTAGCGGACAATGGCATGTCTTTTATTTTAGCAATTATTTTTCTTTTATTTTTAAAATCACAAAAAAGATATTCAGACATTTTAATAAAACAATCTTTCACAAAATGGCCATCTGTAAATGACTTTCCCGTTTCACTATTTTTAGTGCGGCAACAAAACTAGCAGTTGTTGAATTATTAGTTGATTTTATCCGATTTGAAAGTGTACCTTTACTTAAGTTCATTTTATGTTGAAATTCATCTACTGCAGGGGTGGCCAACAGTTTTTGCCCCCAGGCTGAATTGGAAAGAAAACTTTTTTCACAGGCCGAACCAGAGGCTGCCCTAGGAAGATTTTGAGGTGGTGCGAGATCTTATTGTGGTGTCGCTCCAAACAGACTAAATTGTACATAGAGATTACAGATACATTTTTCATATTACCATGCTTTATCAACATTCTACGCTGTACTTAAGAGATTTGTAATGGAGGGTTAACTCTAACCAGACAGCGAGTTGTTGACCTTTTTTTTTTTTTCTTTTAGGCGTCAGAATTTTTCATCAAGCTATTTGGAGTTGAGTAGCTAACGTTGAAAGATTGATCGCGGGCCATATGTTGGCCATGCCTGATCTACTGCTTTTCTTATTTCTCACGATAAGTGTTTGCAAATGCTTCATGTTTATTTAAAAAGTGCTTTTATACATTTGATTTTTTTTATTAGAAAACTTTTCTTAAAATATTAAACACACTGGGAATCCTGTTAAATTTGCAACAACTGCATAAGATTCAGTCCATTCACTTCTAAATTCTTGATTTTCTTCTACTTTTCTCTCTCTCTTTTTTTTTTAACCATATTAAATATTACCCTCAATATTAGAAGGACCTCTTATTCAATATTTTTCTTTTGCACATTATAATAATTAATGAACTAAACATGAATAAATAACACTACCATACCATGATTGTTCATTTTGCCATTTTTAATAAATTGGGCAGGAGAAACTGCATTGGAGTATTCGTGATGGTTTATTTCTCTGATTTTAAATTTTCCTTACAGTCACGTGATATCTCCACAGGTTATATTTTTAGACAAAAGCATGAGAGCCATGGACAAAACTGCCAAAGATGCTCACAAAATATTATGACAATATGATACCATCCCTTAAGCACCATCTACTAAAGTGCTAAATTCTTCCTTTGCTAGGTTAGTTTGGCATGTTTTTCCTCAAGGCAATAATAAATTATTATTATTAACTTTTGTTTTTACTCTGATAGTAAAGTGATAAATAATTAATGAAGTTTACAAGTTATCTTTTTGTTTTACTTAAATTAAAAATTTTATTTTGTTATTTGCATATTATTTACTAACTTAAAAAGAGCCTCAATTATACATTAAAAGAGCTGCAGGTTGACGACCCCCAGTTTAGGCTTAATCAGATTTATGTATAATCTTATCCCAAATATTTTCATGGTATATGAACCATGCATGCCATCATGGTATATTCCTTAAAAATTATTATTTTATTTTTTTCAGTGATAGGTTTTTTAAATCTTAAAATTTATTTGATGAAATTACCATTTAAAATTAAAATTGATGTATTTTGTAGGTCCGAACATCTGAAGAAAGTTTAGTTGAAGAAAATCCGCCAAAAAAGAAACACAGACCAATTACATGGCCCTGATTGTATAGCTTTTTATTAAAAACCCATCATTGTGTTTGTCTTGTACTAAATGTTTGTGTTTGTATGTATGTGTGTCAGTTTGCGTGTGAGTTGATCATAAGTTTTCGCTAAATTTTTGTAGCCATCTCTACTGTGCTATCAATAAAATTCATATTATCTTATGTAATGTTTCAGTAACCTTACTTCATCATTCGTCCTGTAAATCAATTTACAGATAATATCAAAAAATATATATATTATTTTTCTAAATGAAAAAGTGTACTTTGTTTTTAATTATTGGACTGAGGAAAAAAATAGTATTTAAACATATTTAAAGCTGTGTTCATAATTTTTTTCATTTATTTATACTATTTTAACTCATTACACTTTGTTAAAGAATGCCTTAATTTATCTTTTAGATTAGTTTGTACATTAAGAATTATTTTATTTTGCATCACAACTTTATGATATATCAACAATATGGCTATTGTATTACAAAGTTCATTTTTTTTATTCAACGTTTTAAGAAAATAATTAATTTAATGTTACAATTGACTCTCAATTTTTCCAGAGCAGCAAATTGAAAAATTTTATACGTAATATAGAATACACTGTAACTGCATTTGTTACATTAACTTTTACAAAAAAATGAAATGTAAACATATAAAATAATAAAAAAATAATATAGATGAATCTGTTTTTATCAGTTAGATTATGAAATATATAGTATATAAAGTATATTAGTATATATAGATGACCACTTCATTGTTATAATTGGCACATTTATCTGCAAGTCGGATAATCGAGAGTCAACTGTATATAGAATACACTTAGCTTATAATATATAAATGAATAAGGAATGTTTAATATCTAAAATATTAAGAAAATTAACAATTTTATACATTTACAAATGTATAACTTTGTAAGATATGTATCTCTTCTATTACTTTTAAATTGTTAATCTGATAATATTAGTGGTTAAAGAACTCTTTTCTGATAATAGTAGTGTAACTTTTTTAATCTGTTATATACTCTGAATTTTTTTTTTTACTATTTATAAATGCACTTACTAATTAATTTAGCATAATTTTTGTTTATTTGTTCTGAATTTATTAGCAAAAATGTTATTTTGAAATATTAAATCATTTGTTCTGTTGTTGCCAAACAAAGAATAACTTGTATATTATGTTACCAAAGGAACTGTATTACAAGATATACAAGGTTAGTCTTAAAATCTTTAATATTGTTTAAGTTGTATATAAGAAATATAATTTTCGTTGTAGAATAGATATACAAAAATTAATTTTTATTGATTTTAATAAAAGTTTTAAATTTTCTATGAATTAGAAAGATACCTTTTATTGCTTCATCACAAAATATTTGATATTTTGGGGGTGTTTATTGCAAGGAGATAATGAAAAGTTATGATTTTACAAAAAGTTTTAAGAAAAACAACAGCTATAATATGAATTCAAGGAGCATACAGGGTGGCTTAAAAATCAGTTAACCAAGATTTATTTTCAAGAATAGCTAAACTGCTTTGGAACAGCCATGTACTATTAATAATTTTATTGCTTTATTACAGATAATTGAATTACAAATAACATGCAGCTATTTTAATCATTCTTAAAAATGAATCTTGGTTAATTTGCTTTTGGAATATCCCATATTTAAAAAAATAAATTCATATTTCTATTATTAATTTTAGAAATCAGCTGTTTAAATATACTTTATACATGAATCTACTGATTTGTTTATATATGGGCTTGATCATAAGATAATGAAATTAAAAAATCATTGTTGACTTCATTATCATATTTAATAGCATATTTTCAACACTGTTTTAATTATAATTTAAATTCATTTTATTCTACAAAGAAAATTATATAGCATTGTATGGAAAGACTGGCTTTGTACTAATGTTAACATGAATCTGTATATAAGTCTTAATTTGATGAATGATTGCACAAATTAGCTTTAAAAAACATAGTTTCACATTGTAAATATTTTAAAATTAAATATTTTGTAATGTGAGTTATAATAAATTTAGAATGAAAGTATATGATGGTGCTAATAGCTTAATTGAATTGATGTGTTGTTAGAAATGTTATTAAATATTTTTAAATTGTATAATAGTTCATTATTATTATTGTCTCATTAAGAACAGATCAGATTATAAAGCTTAACACAATATTACTCATTTTGTATTTGTTTATATGATTTTTTTTTTATTAACATTTCAAACAACAACAATGCTTCTATATCATTTAATTACATTAATGTATTTTGTAAAGATAATTTTCATTTCTAGTTTACTTACTTAATGTACAATTTTCTGATTGCAGAGGTTACAATTAAAAACTATTATAACTGACTTATTATTGACAATTAATATGGAAAACATAATGTTTCACAAACTTGGGATAAACAGATATGGTAAAATGGAATTTATAAACTTAAAACATACAACTTACATAAGTTAACACATACAACTTACATAAGTTAACACATTATATAAAATAAAAGAGGAAAAGAAAAATTATGAAAATTGAATTTAATTGCTTATTTTTCACTTTTTGAGATGCATTTATACTGATATATTAAAGAGGCTTTTGCTTCTATAACATGCACATGTATTTAAACCCATAAGAAATTTTGAATTGCTGTTTTTCTCTAGTATTGAAAGCATTCTTTATACTTTCTCACAAAACTTGTTACAATTTTGTATTAATTACTTCAGTCTGCTTAATTTAAGCAAACTACCAGTATTTTCATACATACAAGACACCCACACCAACATACCTCAAATGACTAATTTTTACTAATGTTTTCATCTGTATATAAGAGACATATTTAGGTAAATATAATGCAGAACAAAATGGACAAATTAAAATCAAACAAGGTTTTATGAACACATTATAAATTCAATTTAAAATTATTACTAATTTGAGGTATGCTGGTATAGGTGTCTTCTTTTCTTGTATGTGTGTTAATTAATATATACTAGTTTTGGAAAGTTCTTGGTTTTTTATTTTCTTTAATAAAAACATTTTCAGCTGTTATCAAGCTGCCATCCTCAGTTCTGTTTCTTGGAATTTCTCAAGGAAAAACAAATACCTCATTATGTTTGTTTTAGACTAGTGTTTAAATCTTGTCCTGAAACATTTAAAATTTTTAAATTTCAAAAGTTTACTTATTATAAATTGTTAAAAAGGTTAATAATAATCAATAATGTGCAATTTTTATTGGATTGTTAAAAATTTTTAGTGACATTTTTGAACACAACTTTTAAAGTTTTTAAAATTTCAAAAGTTGTGGAACAAGATTTAAACAATATTCCAAAATGAATGTAATGATAGAATTTCTCAAAGAACAAATACAAGAAGCAAAAGTTGTAACTGAAGATGGCTTGATAGTATCCGAAAGAATGATTTTATTAAGGAAAATAAAGTTGGTTCCCTTAAATTAAGCAGATTGAATTCTTATACTACACTTTTTTAATATTAATTTTATATTATATACCAGATATCAATTAATTATATAAATGATGATAAAATTTTTCAGTATAGAACAAACTACACTCTAAAAACAGTTTGGAATTTTTTTTCACATATTACTAAAATTCAGTAATTCATTTTCTGCACAGATTAAAACAACATTTAAATCTATGCTAATTATTCTGCAGCAAATGATATTTAGTCTTAATCCTATTCTGTATGCAATCTTTCAGGTTTACCAGATTGAAAGAAAAGGGTACAAAGTTGTAAATCTAGTATAAAAGCCTACTGGAAGAAATTGAGAGAAACTAGATTGAGAACATAGCAATTAGAAAATGAATTCTAGTCAATTGATTTATCATTCATCTGTTTATTCAGCAGTAATGCTCTCATATCATTGTAGATAATATATAGAGAGGTTATCTTGTTTAAAAACAGTATTAGGTATAATTAAATAACTGAGACATTAACAACTCTGTGTGTATTTAGATAGTGTCATAATTCTCCTGTTTGCAGCTATTTTCAATGCAGAGAGAATTTGGAATAGCTTTGTATGTAAAGTCATGAATCTTTAGCAGAAGCTGCACATTGTCTGAATAGAGCCATGGAGCTATAATCAGGATTCCCAGAGGTCCTATTTTTTCCACATAGAAGTAGGAAACTAGGAAATGCACTGCTTCTAACCAAATGTTTTACTTTTCCTACTTTCTTCTAAATTTTTAATCTTGTTAATTTTTCATCTGTGTTGATAATGATAAGGTTGATGATAATGTTGGATGACTAATCACATGCAATCAATTATTTTTGAAATTGTACTAAAATACCTATGGTAAAATATATAATTTTTTTTTAATTAGCACATTTTATGCTAATTTCAATACAAATTACAAAGAACAAATAATAAATACACTGGTGCTTCAAATTAAAAGCGAATCTTGACTAAGAATACTTTGATTATCTGTCAAAATTCTCTTTTAATTTTATGTATATGAAGATCTTCTGGTTCCTCAAACTCAACCCTTGTTTGTTGAATATTGCCGTAAGTCAGTTTCATTGTTCAGCATTATGCCTTTGGTTCCAGCCCATTTTTTTCAGTGTGAAGATATTGACTAGATAGTAGGATGGAGAAATCTCACATATAACACTGAGATCAGTGTTATATGTGAGATAAAATGCACATATAATGCCAATCTCAGTGATTTCTCCATCCTACTATACAATATTTGGTGTGAATATCAATTTATAGAATATTGATTAGATATGTTATATTAGGAGAGATGATTATGTAGTCTCCACAAGGAGAAGAATATGTTGTTGTTATGTAAAAGTGTTTTAAAAAGTCAATCCTTGGTCATAAGTACCCAGAAATGATTTCTTTGATCAAAGTACTTCTTTTCCTTTGATCAAAGTGCTTGTTCCACAGCAATGCACTGTAGAAAGAGGTTTCTCGAAAAGTATTTAATTTCCTGATAGTTATGTTCTTGAGTCTATCATAAGCATCAATCAGTGCAGTCCAGTGTACAAAAGTTGGGTTGAAGCAATATTATTACTGATGCTGTAAAGTTCTTATCAGACAGGAGTTCTTGAAAAAGTTTAAAATGCATGTAAGTCATACACAGAAAGAGTTGAAGAAGATAAGCATTTGGAAGTTGAATAACAAAAGAATGGAAAAAGAGGAGGAACAATTGAAGCAGAGAACATTGAAGAAGAAATTTAAAAAAGTCCAAGAATAATTAAATAACAAGAAAAAATTTTAATTTACATGAAACTTAAGACAAACAAGTATAGACAAACAAACATACATGTTTATTACATACTGATCAAAGTGAGAATTGTGAGAGCCCAGACTTGACGAAAATTCGTGGGTGAAAAATTAAAATTTTTCCTTTATTTTTTGTTGTAAAATTTATTTTATTTTATTTGTGAAATTTATTTGTGGTAAAATTTTCCCAGGGGGAAAAATAATTTAATTGTCGGAGGATATGATTTTATCTTTCACTTGAGTCACTTCCTTAGTTAGATTCCTGGTGACACATTGAATGTGTCACCAGGAATCTAATAACAAAAATCCTGGTGACACATTGAATAGATTCCTGGTGACACATTGAATGTGTCACCAGGAATCTAATAACAAAAATCATTATTAGATGGAGAAATCAACATTTCCAAAAATAGGCAGGAGAAGAAAGAGGGAAGGACCCCCCAAAAAAAGGAAATTTTGATGACGACACAGAGAGTTTGTCTGTCCTCGGAAGATTGGTCATGTGTGCACTCAGATACACTTCTCTGCCGATATCCCACCAATAGCCAGTGATCCGCTGATAGCCGATGACCCAAATTATCCACCAAGGACTATAGTGTCTTCTCTGAAAAAAGGCCCAAATCAAGAGAGCAATCTTCAGGTAAATATCATGTGTGAGTGTTGTAAACTCTCTCTCTCTCTCACACACTTAAATCTTATATGTCAAATTTTATATAATCAATAAATAGTTATTATTTTTCATAATCAAGTTGTACAGTGCTCAATCCCTTTCCATCCTGAATCTGACTGCCTACAGATGTGACCGCTCGCACAAAAAATGAACTTAACGGCCATCGAGGTTTCTGTGTCTGTCTGTAAGACACAGTGGTGTCAGTCCTGACGACTTAGTCATTGCCAACATGATGTCAACCATTCGGTCAAGTGGTACCGAAGCATAGGGGGTGCTTCGTGCATTGTCACAGAATAAAGCCAATGAAAGAATAAAGAAGGGATTGAAGAAGAATGATATGAGAGGAGTAAAAGTTGATCAAAGAATGTTAGAAGTACAAACCAAATTGGAGAAAACTTAGTGATCTGCAGAATATAAGCACAGAGTGACTTTTCAAAATGGAATTTCTGCACATGGAAATTGTGAATGGGATCTGCATGGGAAATTGTTTACTGCCTTCCCATGGACCATGCTATGACTTTTCTGTGGCAAAACAATGTTTTTGTCACAAAAATAAACCTTGGAAAAACTTATATTTAAATAATAGAAACTCAAACTGCTTGTTAAGGAAGTCAAAAGTAATTTACTAGAAATGGTTTCAGCTAGTTTTGGTTAACTATAACCCACTAAAGTGAAAAGTAAATCTACAGACCAGATTTGGGATAGCCAGATTTACAGATGCTCAGCAGCATCTGCCAATCAATGATAAATTCAGAGAAAGATAGGCAGTATTAGATATGTTCTTCATTTAACTGGTTATAGTTAACTGAAGCAGGCTGAAAACATTTCTAATAGATTATTTTTAGCTTTGTTAAACAGTTTGGTTTCTTTTTATTTAATAGCTTAACAGACTTATTACTGATTTGTGATATTTTCAATTTGTAATAAAAACAATTTTTTTCAGGTTTAAGTTAAAATATATTAAAACAGAAATAAACTGAAACTGAAGACTCAAATAAGGTAACATATATTGCTTGATTTATCCAGTTTTGAAAACATGTATGTTCTACAATAAGGCAAGAAAGATTATTATATGCTGTATAACTATGTTGTTGATTATCTCAAGATAACCATTTAAAGAATCACAAAATTTTATTACTTTTTATAATATTTATTTAAACATAATATGACAGATTTGACTAAGAAATTTTCATTTACTATAATACATTACATGTAATTTATTAAAATTTATGTTAATCATGCATAAGAAAATATAACATTTTTTTTAAAGCTAATTGATTGATGGTACATTGT